GTTCGGAATCTTCAAGTGTGATAATCACTTTTCCATCGCCTTCTTTCACTCCCTCTTTCTTGACGGGGTTCCCTCCATTGTTGAAAGAGCCTCCCCCTCCGGCAATGGTTTTGCCGCTATTTTCCATAACGCCCCCTCCAGAATACCCACCCCCGGCACCAGGGAACTGAACTCCTCCGCCACCTCCCCCATATCCACCCTTTCCTCCGTTCAACGAATTTCCTCCTTCCCCTCCGTTTTCAAAACTCTTTCCCCCCGTGGCAAGTATGGCAGATTCACCGTCCCCGATTAAGCCACCTCCCGCTCCGCCTTCAAATGATTTTGAGGGGGAACCATTCACGAGGATCGTTCCCCCGTTCCCACTGGACCCGCCGGACTGAGATCCCTCTTCGACGGTCTGTCCCGGATCCCCATCATGGTTATTTCCTGGCTGTGCACCGCCTCCACCCCCTCCCCCAGCAACAATCAAAGCAGCCTTAGATGAGAAAGTGATAAATGTTCCCCCTCCACCTCCCCCAGGTAACGGCGGCACGCCAACTGTTCCACGGCTGCCTGCCTGTCCCACGAGTATCTTCAGCAATGTTCCGCGAGTGAGGTTGAAAGTTCCCTTCATGTAAGCGCCCTTGCCGTCCGGTCTTATAACTACTGAATCTCCATTTTTTCCTCGGCCTTGAGCACCCGATGCTCCCCAGGTCTCTATGACGTAAGATCCGTTCAGAGGTACTTGCCATATTTGGATTCCGTTGTCCAAAGTAACCTTTCCCTGTAGAGTGGTCCCTTGGTACCCGGATATGTCTGTGGGTCCTCTTGGACCCTGGCCACCGAGAGTTGTAAATGTAAAGTTGAAATCTGGGGATGAATAGCAAGTCAGCAGTTAGAAAAACTAAAGCGTACAGTCAAGTCCAACATAGACAAACTGGTATGGTTCGAAACAACAACTTTACGATCCGTACAGATCGTAAAAGACAGTTTTCGGTCCCTATACGATCGGAAAATTATATCTCATTAGGGGGACTTGGAATATAAATTACGTGTCAAATAAATCGATTTTAAATATTCGTACCCAGTCCGGTGCTCGTTTTGAACAGGGCTAATTCGCCACGAGTTTGTTCCCTTGCTGTGCGAGCTCTAAGAGGATGGACAAAAACGGCGAAGGTTTTCCCCGACCGTTCTCAGTATTTTAAGCTTGTGCATTTCTTACCAGGCTTATTGCTTTCTGTGGAATTCTCTTTTCTAATATGAACAATCTGCCCGTACAGCCATCCTGCTTCCCTTGTGAGACCGTCATCAAAGTATCCAGCGGTTTCACTTGACAGTTCACAGAGTCCTTTCTTCTTGGAGCGCTTAAAATTGTAAGAACGGCATCCTTCCTTCCTCGAGCAAAGATGTGCGCACGAAAATGAATTGGATGTTCGCTGCCGTTGCATAACGTGGCCCTTTAAAAGAAAATTCTCTCGTGTGGACACAAGCGACTCCACAATCTTACATGACGTAGGTGTTGATACTAACGAGATGACGGTAAGTGCGAATGCGAGATGAAGGTGTAAGATGGCCATGTCTGAAACTGAATCACACACCACATTACAGTCAGATGCCTGTGTTCTCTCTTATTCATGATAGTTGATTCATGGTAAGGAAGTGAAAAAAAAAAACAATGTCCCAATCCCGGGGCTGAGGGCAGGATAACGTCTCACAAGTCTACATATTGCCTGGGGTAAGGGGGAATCCCATGTGAAAAAGTCGGGGATACTCGTCGTTACGCTTAAGTGTGTAAATCACAGATTTTGGTCGTCTTTAGGGTGTTTACGATGAAATGCCACTTTTTGGCCGTCAATGTATGTTTTAGGGTTACTCTTTACGTTTTAAAGTGCATGGTATCTTTTAGGGGTCAATACAGCTCGGAAAAAAAAAAGTCACACCCAGACTGGTCTTTTTTAGGGTTTAATTCAGATTTTCCGTCGAGCATCCCTGATCTCTTCACATGGAAGTCCCCCCCCCCNAGCATGGCTTTCAACAGTTTTAATCAAAGAACCGGGCCTGGCGTCATAATATAGAGTGCAAGTAAGCAACACGTTCACGGAATATTTTAATTTTTGTTCCTCCAGCTAGAGCTAATATTTACAAAACTTTTAACAAATCTTGCAACAGAAATGAGCCAAAACAAACTCTACCTAAAAGACATGGAAAAATTACAGTGTTAAATTCTACAAAACGACAGATAACAGCGGAAAACACGCACGCCTGTGACCTCTAAAAAAATGCTTTAACACATTAAATGGCTTTATTCTAGTTTAAGTCCTCCCTTTATAAAATTCAGCATAAGATGCCCTTCAAAAACAAGTGTAAAGCAAAAAAGGTAGAGAGACCGAATTTCAAATAAGAACAAATCATGCACAAATCATACAAATGTCACGAACCGTGGGAGTCCGTTTAGGCCTGTCAACACTATTTTCCGGGGTATTTTGCACCGATCGCCCGACCAAAGCCACATTATTCCAAAACTGATGGTTTTTTTTTTTTTTTTTTTTNTTCCATCACCTTCCAGATCGGTGGTGTTTTGGGAAAGGTTTCCCTCCACTGACCAGTTTAACATGTTAGGCGGGAAGAAACTTCAGCAATATACATTCACCCTAGAACGTGATTTTTTTTTTTTTTTTTTTTTTAATGTTTCTATTTATTGCCTGTGTTCCTCATTTGGATATTTCCAAGCTGGCATTTAAATCAGTTCGTCTTCGAACTGATTCTTGAGAGTGATAGCCACGTTCAATCTTAATCTTTGTCGCATCCACGCGCAGTATCCACCAACACTTTAGATTCCGAGATTATCGACTTATTGGTGCAAGTTTGAGAAAACTCGAAGCTTTAAACACTATTTTCCTTTCCGTTATTATTTTGTTTTTATTTTCCCACTTGTTGCTAAAATTTGCTGAGGAGTTTTGCTCATTCGTCAGAAGAATTGTACCACCAGTTCAAAGAATGTAGCAAAAATGCGAACGTGCCCGGATCTAGTAGCCAAACTATGGCTTTTTAAGTTCCTTTTCTCTCAGAGGAGAAAAGCTGAAAAAAGAAACAGATAATTATAATTCGGTTAAAATTTTGCACTTGTATTTTCTAATTTTGGAGGGCTGATATCAGGAGTACCTAATGGATCGTTTTGGTAAACTGTGTCTGTTCGGAAGGCCTTTTACGGCCTTACGATTTTCTTAAGAGAATTGCCACCCCGAACTTTCGTGATACGAGAAATTGTCGAGAAAATGTCGTTTTGGCTAACGAAAAAAGGCAGCTATAATTTTGAGAAAGGCAATAAGATCTAGGGTTTTCGAGAAATGGACAAAAAAAAAAAACTAATAAATTCGCGAACACTCAAGTTCCCCTAGAATGGAATCCAGATAGCCTAAAATAACATTTTAAACCATTTCAGAGAAAACTGAGTCGTAGGTTACCCTGGCCCGTTGATATTCCATTTAGGTTACAGTAAGGAATTACGATTTATCAGGAAAGGGACTCCACATATATGATAAAGCCCACTAGTGGTCAAATCCCATAGATAAAGATAGCGAGTAATTCAAAGCAGCCATTGTTCGAATTATCTGAGAGAGATAACTGGAATCTATGCTACCTTATTAGTCAAAGATGGTAGGTTAATCCAAGGATTGTTTTTAGCTTAACTTGTTCTCGGTCACGGTTAGTCTTCACGGCCACCAGCACTTTTAGAGGAAATTAATTGAATTGGCATATAAAGAAAAGGAACCATCTGTTACTGAACAATTCCCACGGTTCTTACATTTAAAATTTACCTTCTGTCTCTACCTTGACATGTAATTTTAAACGGGAACATTAATAAGTTCTAGTATGAAAACGGTTCAGTTCACTGAAAATCCCCGATTATCTATTCTACTCTACGTGCAATCACAATGAAGGTGTAAAAGATCTTCATTGCGTCTTCAGTTTGTGGCAAAACTGAATGTGGGTTAAAGGAGTTCTAAATTCGGATTGTGGTTCAGCAGCTGTTTTCCTGGCAACCACCAGCCCCGCATGCTTAAAAATAAACTGTTTAAAGGTTATTTAATGAAGCATTGTAACATCAATGTTTATTAGGATTTGAAGCACAACTTGACAGTCTCTCCAGAGCTTAGCATCTGTCATATAACGCCTTTTTCTTACCAGAATATCAGCTCGGCATGTAGCACCTCTTCCAGACCTGTATTTTCATTGGTTCTGGTAACCTGCAGCTTCTATTGTTTCAAGAGATAGGGGCATTGTTTGGATCATTTAGTTATTGTTTCGTGAGCCAATTACAAACAGTGTTTGGACAGCTACAGGCCTGCTCCGACGTGATTTCAACTTCATCTTACAAAAGTGATTTTTCGGTGCTTAATCTCGGCAAAAGATGATTTAGAATTACTCCAAACGTTACTCTTTGTATGGTCACGGTTTTCTTGTATTTCTCTCGATTATTTCTAAACAGTTTATAAATTATTTCTTAAACAGTTTATAAAGGCCTGGCTAAACTAAGCAACTGTTTCCCGGAAATAATGTTGACTAGTTTCCAGTGCTGCTCGTTAAAAATGTTCCCCAGCAACGGCGAGCGCACAACAATGGCTGACGGCGAAGTCGAAGTAGAATAACCACAAGTAGGTCATAGAAAAGGAAAGGAAAGAGGGAAAGGAACTGGAAGAATTAACAATTATTCCATGAGCGCGCGTTGGATATGAGACGGTAGACAGCAGAATTAAGTCTTTTTTTCCTTACAAAGNGGAAAGAGGGAAAGGAACTGGAAGAATTAACAATTATTCCATGAGCGCGCGTTGGATATGAGACGGTAGACAGCAGAATTAAGTCTTTTTTTCCTTACAAAGATCGTTTCAACCACTCGCAGAAATCGAAGATTGTCTACAAAGCCAGATGCTGGGATTGTGATGCTTTCTACATCGGTGGTAAAGCTGCTAGTTTTTACCCTCCCTCTAATCTACACATGTGTATTTTAATCGGGAAGTCCAGCGAATTAAAAGGTCCGTAGCTTGGAGATCCACCCCATGTCATTTTTCTTTTATCTTGCGTGCTTTCCTGCACTCGCGTGTTCGGTGTCAGGATCCTAAACTATGCCTAATCGGTTTTTGAAAGATGCTAGTTTTTGCCCTCCCCCAAATCTACATACGTGTATTTCACTCGTGGAACTCTATAGATCTGGACATTGCTTGGGTTAGAGATTCTCGGGCGTTTAGAGAAGCGGTACACTCGCGGTTTTGGTGTCGGGATCTCAAACTATGCTTACTGGACTTTTTAAAGAAACTACACTTTGCTCTCCCTCAAATCTACGCACGTGTATTTCACTTACGGAAGTCTGTCGCTTTGAAGAATGCTTGGGTTAGAGATTAGCGGTGCGGTACACTCGCGGTTTTCGTGTTGGGATCCCGAACTATTGTTACTGGACTTTTCAAAGATGCTAGTTATGGCCCTCCCCCAAATCTACACTCGTGTATTTCACTTGTGGAAGTCTGTCGCTTTGGACGATGCTTGGATGGGAGATTCTCGCCCATGTCAATTTGTTTTCCCTCGCGTGATTTTGCACGCTTAGCGATTCGGCACCTTATTTTTGAGGCTGTGACAATCATTTTTCCCGTAAAGAAATGTGTGTTTTTAACGGAATACGTAAAGTTCACAGACTGTGTAGTTTTGCCGTGGGTTTGAGACGATGAATGAATCGGTAAACGCGCGCATCGCTGGATGTAAATTGGCGACTTCCGCCCGAATACGTCTTTTTTCTTTTCTTTAATTCATGAGTCATATAACAAACAGCTTAATAACCTCGACCGTTCGGTCGTAACGGGAAAATCTCAAACCTCGGCCTACCGTATTAACCTCGCTATCGCTCGGTCAATACGGCAAGGACTCAGTTTAAGATTTTCCCGTAACGACCTCACTCTCGGTTATGAAGTAGTTATTATTCTAGTTTAAGTCCTACCTATATACAATTCAGCATAAAATGCCCTTCAGAAACAAGTGTAAAGCAAAAAAGGTCGAGAGACCGAAGTTTAAATGAGATTGACTAATGCGCAAATCATACAAATGTCAAGAACAGTTCGTTTAGTCCTCTCAACACTATTCCCCGGGGTATTTTACATCGATCGTCCGACCAAAGCCATATTATTCCAAAAACTGACGTTTATATGAAAAAAAAATGTTTCTATTTATTGTCTGGCTTCCTCACATGGATATTTCCAAGCTGGCATTTAAATCAGTTCGTCTTCGAACTGATTCTTAAAAGTGATAGCGACTCGTTGCAATTATCGGTCGCGGGGAACATAAGACTTGCTTGGAATTATTTTATTTTACATTATATTCCTATTCTTGGCTTTTCCTTATTAATACGACTGAGAGACCCAATATTAGCCTTTCTCGTCGCTATTGTCGAAAACTGCCATTAAATGTTGCACTCACCGTTCTCTTTCCGTCAGCGAAGTGTCACCCACAAACTGAAGCAAGAGAGAGAGAAACTTAGACACTCAACAGCTGCCAGTGTTTTGACACGAACCTGAATGATTCATTTCGAACA